CGTCATTTGAGAGTGCCTCTGGCTCTACCTGCCATTTGGATAGTGTTAATTTCTAGGGTTCTGTATTTAATCTTCTTTTCAAAATAATTTTTCTAGAATAGGGCATATATCAGGGGTAGAATTGTTACCTAACATCTTTTTGATGGTCAACACAAATTTGTTTACCTATAGAGAAGAAGATAGTGGTTTTATTTTAAACTATTTTGTATATTTCTATATATTTTCTAAAACTACTAATGTGAACATCATTTAGAAAGCATCATATGTAACAGCTTCATTGTTAGGTTTCCAGTACTTCATAATCATTAAGTTCAATAAAAGTCATATTAAATTTGAATTACTATAAAGTCCTACTTTCTATTCTCATTTATTTCAGACATATAACTTTTTCATTTGTCATTCAGCAAAGCAATTAAAAGAAGCACATACAAAAACACAAGCATTAATTCAGTACATGTTCATTATAGGAGATGGTGAATATACAGTTCCTATTCTGGAGTCTCTTCAGACATCGGAGATCTATATGTTACCTAACATTTGCAAAACATTTACAAAACTGGGGTTCTGCCACTATCCACCAAAAATTATTTTCCAAATACTCACTGAATGAAATTTAATCCATTTTCATATATTTAATTTATATACTGATGTATCCTCAATACTATATTCCAATCACAGCCTCTCTACTGAGCTTCAAATCCACATCTCTCAGCAGCCTACCAGGCATATTCACTCAAATTTTCGAAAAATTTTCTCTGGGTTCCCTATAACGGTGAGCACCATCATATACTGTCTTTAGGTTGGAACTTGAAAGACATAACTCCTCCTTTTCAACAATTTTCCACATTCACCAATTACATTTGATCATTCCATTCCCTCCTTTCAATCACTTCAGACTTTTGATGGTTCTCTAACACTTTCCAACTGAACTTGACCTTATTGATGTGACCCTCTGTCTTTGCTTGATTTAGCTTCTATAACACAAACATTTTTTGATTCTTATGTCCATGTATCTGTTATATGATTCATGCAAAGAATGGGTGACCCTCTAGCTCCATACATGACACATGACTGGTTCAAGTTGTTTCTCATGCATAGCCTCTTCTAGAAGTAGAATGAGTAATTTGTCACTCATGTTTCTCTTGAACCCTATGCAGACATCTTTTGAGCACATTTTATACCCATCTATCCCTTTCTTCCTCTTTCCCCTAGATTATGAGATATATGACATCAGGAATTAAGTTTCAGTTTTGTAGCCATGCACATAAGAGTTTCCTAAATAAGCTATTACATCACCTCCTTCTTCACTTTAAAATAGTCTAGGCAATTACCTTAGCAAAATGCAATTCCACTTTCTTTCTCTTCATTATATTTCTGAGTCTAATAGTTGGAAAGTTGCAGTAATTCAACCATAATGATCCATGTGGTTTTCTCCCATAACATTCATGTCATTATTGCACCACTAGGCATATCTTCCCAGGTCGGCTGTTTCTGTAGCTCCCAGAGTTCACAGATGGATAAGACTGATGATTACTTTTCTCCCTCAGCAGCCTGCATAGCACCTTGTGATACTATAAAGGGTAGCTAATAGGAAGGAAGTTTTTTCCAGTGCAGCTTCAGTTTGAATTCTGCCTGTTCTATGACCAAAGTGTGTGGTGTGTTCAGCTACAGGGTCTTACCATCAAGTTCTGAAGGATAACCAAGAGCAATGGCAATAGCCTGGAATGTTTGGGTGCCTATGGGATCCAACTGATCAACAACTCAAAAAAAGGTGACTCATACCTGGCACTAGGCCATTGGTATAGGTGATAACCTATGGTATCTATGGAAGACATTGTCACCAGCTCCACAAATCAGAGCTTATGCCCGGTGCTGTTAACAGGGTCAAAACTCAGTGACTGCCTAGATCACAGTCCCTATGAGAGAACTTAATACTCTAATTCTGCTAGGTGGATATAGTCATAAACTGCCTCCTAAGTTTTTATCTTTACACACAAAAATTAGTGCATATTTAATCCTCAACAGAGAAGATTGTTTTGTATAGTTATTAATACAGAGACCCACAACTGGTCAATCTACAGTGAACAAGAGAGAGTGAACAAGAGATTGAGTACTCGGCTTGAAATGGACCATCTATATCACACCCCACACCTAAGACATAGGAACCATCTTTAAAGAGGGATCCAAAAAATTATAAAAGTCAGAGGTAGGAGATATCCTCAGGGAGGCAATGCTTGCCAGACATGATAGCACCATTGCATACGTGAACTCACAGAAGGTCTGCATGTACAAGACCTACAAAAGACCAAGCCAGACAAAATCTCAGCATGGAGGTGGGAGTGGCTCATAAAGTCCCTTCATTGTATTTCTGAGTCAAATAGTTGGAAAGTTGCAGTAATTCAACTGTAATGATCCATGAAATTAGAAGAATTCATCTCTAACAAAGGAGGAAAAGTAAACTTTAGGAGTGGAATTATGTCTAATAAATAACCACTTTCCTTATCCTTCAAATCACTTGGAAAAGGCTAATGAGTCCCACTCATTTCTTTTGTTGTTGTTACTGTTTTTTGAGAATGTCATACATGCATATAATATATTTTGACCAAATCCACCCTCCAATTCCTCACCTTATACCCTACACCATGAATTTTCTCTCCCAACTTCATATGTGCTTTATTTAAACCCAGTTAATCCACTTAGTGCTGCATGCAATTGTGTGGGTGTGGGACCATCTACTGGATCATGGATAACCTTTTGGGGATCACATCCCTGAAGAAAACTGACTCTCCCTCCCCAATCAGTCATCAATTGCCAATAGCTCCTCGTCTAGGTGTGGGAGATCTTTCCATCATCTAGTATCTCATTCAATTTCTTTCTGCAATGACTTAACTTTTTCGATTCATTTATTTTAATTTTATTGTGTAGGACTGTTTTTCCTACATGTAAGTGCACTCATGTTGTGCAATGCCTGTGGAGGCCAGAAAACAGTGTTAGATCCCCTAGAACTAGAGTTATGGAGGGTTGTCAGTTGCCATGCGGTAGCTACATGTAGAGAAATGAAACTAGTTCAGTATATCTCACCCTACACAAACCTGAACTCCAAATGGACGAAGGACCTCAATGTTTGCAGCTGCCTGGGAACATATCCTGGGTTCTCTGCAAGAACAACCAGTGCTCGTATCTGCTGAACCATCTCTCCAGCCTGAAATACTGATTTCTTTTGAGACGGGGTCTCATTATACAGCACTGGCTAGCCTGGAACTTGCAATGTAGACCAGGCTGGCCTCTAATTCATCAAGATCCACCTGTCACTGCCTCAGAAGCACTGGGATTAAAGGTATGGTTCGGCCTCTTCAATGTCTTAATGCTTTTATTATACAAATTCTTTGCTTTCTTGGTTAGATTTATTCCAAGACATTTTATGTATTTTTAGACAATCATGGATGGAATAATTTGCCTGATTTCTTTCTCAATATGTTTGTTCTTGGTATACAGAGAGGCTACTGGTTTTTGTATGTTAATTTTACACCTCGCTCCTTTGCTGACTGTGTTTATATAGACTTATATCACCTGCAAATAGGTATACATTGATTTCCCAGATTTTATCCCCATCATCTCATTCGTCTCCCTGTTCTAGCTAAAACTTCAAGCCCCATATTGAACAGGAATGGGGAGAGTGGAGATCCTTGTCGCATTCCTGATTTTAGTGAAAATGCTTTGAGTATGTCTCCATTTTCTATGATGTTGGGTGTAGGCTTGTTGTATATTGCTTTTTTATGATATTGTGTGCCCGTGTGTTTGTTCATCCACTTCTTTTAAAAACATTTTTATGTGTATGAGTGTTATGCCTGCATATACGTGCACCCATGTCATACAGTGCCCACAGAGGACAAAAGAGGTTGCCAGATCCCCTGGAACTGGAGTTATGGATAGTTGTGAGCCAGCATGTGGGTGCTGGGATTTGAACCTGGGTCTTCTGAAAGAACAGCCAGGGCTGTTAACCACTGAGCAATCATTCTCTCTAGCTCCCTCACAGTTCTTTATCCCCCTCTTGTCACATGGTTTTACAGAAAAGTTATTTTATTAAGGACATGTGTACAGTTACTTGTTAATTATTCAAGTTGTATTTGTTACTATTGTATATGTCATGGCCATTAATGTTCACACCAAGAATGCAGCCTCACTGACTATTTAAACAAATTTGTTTCTTCCGGGCTCGCTTACATCACATTTTTATGCTTAATTATTAGATTCCAAGGGAAAATACGACCCCCACTTAGAAACACATAATTTTTTATGTCTTTAAATCGACTCTAATACACAATAAACTTTGACGGTTTTAAAGGACCCTTTTCAGTCAATATTCTAAGCTTATCAGAACACAAATAATATATATGTTTTTCAACTTATCCAAGACTGAATACTGTCTTGGTAGCCCATGTGTAATTTCTGGCTCTCAGGAGGCTAAGGCAGTAGTATCTTTAGCTCAAACTCAGCTCTGGGCCAGATAGTAACATTCTGTCTCAAAACAAACGAAAAGAAAACACAACACAATACAACAAAAATCCCCAAATACTCAAATTTCAACGAGAATCTTAAATCACAATAAAATGTGAAAGTGCTTTCCTCAAAATGTAAATATTAAAATGAATCTAGAACTTAAGTCTGTCTCAATCACTGCCCGGCTCTTCTGAGAAACGTCCACGCTAAACTACAATACCCAGAAAGCTCTGCTCTACCTGAATTTAGGGGACTATTAGAAGCGGGGGTGGGGGTGGGGGGGTGGTAGTGCGCGAGGCACTGTGGGTATTCAGAAAGCTGTGTCTTGACTTCATCTCCCACAACTCCTTCGCATCCTTTGCGTCTTTCAGCCAATGCCAATATTGGATGGCCCCCAGGAAGAGCAGCGGCCATCAACCAGAAACTATATTTCCCATGAGGCCAAGCGCTTGAGCCTGCGGCTTCCCTGGTGACCAGTAGCCAATAGGAGAGGCCAACAGCGGTCACAGCATAAGTAAGACTCGCGCTTTGGGCCTCAGTGCCTGGTCTAGGCCCGCTAACGGCTGCACAGTTGAGAAGACAGTTGTGCAAGGGGCGCCCCGACGGCACTCCGAGTACAGAAGCTTCTGCGCTAGCCAGCCCACTTTTCCGCTGCCGTTTAAGGAGTAGCGCTTCGGTAGCCGGGGAGCTGGAGGTCAGCGTTGCAGAAAGCCCGAATGGCTGTGGCTGGGGACTGTGGGGCCGCGGGGGCCTGGGGAGGAGGGTGCTTCCGGGACTGCTATCTCGGCTGATAACTCCGCCCATTTCCGCCTCTGCAAGGAAGGGGGTGTCGGGACTGGGAGTCCTGGAATGGGCGCTGGTGTCCGAGAGCCCCCGCAACGCTCGCACGCTGTTTTTTAAATTTTTCCCATCAACTCATTTGCTTTCTTTTCCTCCTACAACGGGTCCTCCTACACCGCCCACCCTTGTGCCCCTTCATACAATAGCTGTTAGGGATTGAGAGTGGGACGTCACTAGGTGGCATTTGGACTCTGCTTCTTCCTGCTTGCAGGAGTTGAGGGAACTCTTTCCTCTTGCACTTAATGATTTGTACGTTAGGTTTGAGCACCTACTACTTTTCCTTGTAGGGGGTTGGAAATTCCTTACTATACTTGGGGCTTGACTTTCTGCCAAATTTCCCTTTCTGCTTCTTTGATGGTGAGATTTTTTTAAAAAAAGGCATCTCTTCTCTGGCCGACACCAACCAGGTCTTTGCCCCTCAGTTTCCAGAAGGGATAGGGAGATGAGCAAGGAGATCTTGCTTTTGAGAAAGATATGTTTAAGGTTCAGTGCAGTGTTCTGGTGAGAATAAAGGCAAATTGAACCTGTTTAAAGCATTGTAAGGGTTTCCAGCACCAATGTTGACAAACATTTAACAGGTGTACCAGCTATGGAACACAATAGACGTGTGAAACACTACATTACAAATGTGTGCAAAAAAGTGCTGAGGGTTTAGTGGAAGGGCATACTGGTGGGGGTGACAGGCTAATTTGTAAAAGTTCTTGCCTAACCCAGGACTTGCTGAAGTTTTGAAATTTACCCATCTTTTAGAACAATCCTGATAGGTTTTGTGGAGGTGAACTTTCATTTGGGGTCCACTGGAACAAAGGAGATTTGAAATGGGCAAGAGAGGAAGAAAATGCTGCCTGATACTGGGGTTGCATATTTAAAAGTGTGGGTAAAAAGACTGTGACCAGGGCTTACCTGACTGTAAGGTGCATCTGCAGGGATGTATTGGGAGAAAATGCTGGAAAGCTTGCTATCATAGTAACATGACACGTTGAAGAATCTGCCAAATTTGAATAATATTCTGTATCAAATAAACTGAAGACAAAAAAAATTAAGATTGGGTGATTTTTCTTTTCATCCTAGGGGAACCTGATTTGAGATCAATTCTTGGAGAACACAAAGAAGTGTGGTGCTATGTTCCAGGTGTGAGTTTAATTTAAATATAAGAAGAAACTTGTCTTGTAGACAGTTCAGTTGTGGCTATTTTTAGCTCCAGTCTGTACTTGTCAGTTTGAAAACTAAGTGACATATACTTTCTTAAGAAATGTATTTGCCGTCCTTGTGCAGCAGATTACCTGAATTGTCATCATCTCATTGGGTGACAATAATGACTCCTGTTTGGTGAGCCCATATAGTATCCAAAGCATCATCATAAGTACTTTTGCTGAATTACCTAAATGTCTCATAGCATGTGTACTATTATTCCCATTTTTCTCTAGACGAAGAAACTAAAAAAATGCAGAGGTTAAGTAAATACATAGTCACATACATTGTAAAGAACTGAGTTGGGATTTTAGTGTATAGAATTCTGACTTGAAAGCCCATGATTTCCCCCCCCCATGATTTCCTAGTCCTGATGTTTGGTTTTGTTCTTGACTTTCCAATTGTGGTGGAAGGAAGGAAGGAAGGGGGAAGGGGGGAATGGGGGAAGGGGAAGGGAAAGAAAAGAAAAGAAAAAGATCATCCTGGTAGAAACCCAAATGCGTCATATTGAATTTGTCAGAATGTGTCTGCTGTAAAGTAGTTGCCAATACCAAATTAGTTTAACTGCTATTGTAACCATGGCTGATTATGCCTGACAAAATTATCGTCAGTATGGCTATTTCTAAATTAGATGATTCGTTGTATAAACTATGTCCTACCTCTAAGCCATTTGGATCCAGACGGTACTTTGGGTTTTATTTCATTTCAGCTTTTAAAAAGTAACTTTGGTTACTAGATGTCCCCCATGATCTCAGCACACACGAAGTGCAAGAGATAAAGCAGATTATAAGATGTGAGCCCTTCCCAGTTCTGGGGGAGATCGGTGTCTATATATCCTAGGTACCATAGAGTGGTATAGAACAGAAGTGTGTATGAAGTGTGGTGCTGAGGTAGAGGAAAGTCACTAACCAGAAGACAGAGTCAGGGAGATGGATTTTGTGGAGAGGTGACATGATAGATAGGTCTTGAAGAGTAATGAATTTGCCAGGCAAGGAAGGGTAGAGAGGAGCCATTGTGGACAAAGGAATAAGTCTGTGAAAGATATATGACTCTGTAGGACTAATACATGTTTGTTCAATATGAACAATTCTCAGCTGGATGCAGATTATCTGGGACAAGGAAGGTTAAATGGTTAGAGCAGAGTGTATTACAGGATGCTGAGGGTGATTTTTAGAAATATTTTATTTATTATTTTTATTCTGTGAGTGTATTGCCTGCATGTCTATAAGTACACCCATGCCATGCATGCCACAGAGGTCAGAAGGGGGTGTCGGATTTCCCTGGAACTGGAATTATAGATGGTTGTCAGCCTCCATGTGGGTGCTGGAAATCGAACCTGGGTCTTCTACAAGGGCAGCCAGTGCTCTTAACCTCTGAGCCATCTCTCCAGACCCTTAGGGTGATTTTGGAAGAATCAATTGCAATGCTAAGAAATATGAATGTGTTCCCACAGGCCCAGTGGCTCTCAAAATATAGGACATCAGCCAGTGGTAGTTATGTTGTATTCCCACAGCATTTTAAATTCTATTAGTTATATGTTTAAATATGTCTGATAAAACATCTGGATTAAGTCATCAAACCTAATGAGTCTAAGGGTTTGATTTAGTTAAAATAGAGAATAAGCTAGTCATAAGTTGGTTTAAGGATAAATAATAAGTGAATAATAGTATGGATGTGGTTTTTTAAAAAATCACCAAATTATACCTAAAATCATTGAAATTTAAGAAATATAGTTGGCAGGCAATAGAAAATAATTCACAATTTTCAGGCAAGGAGCCTCATGATCAGATTTCCACATTTGTGTGATGGCAATGGAAAGGATACACAGGAGGGAGGCATGATCAGTGTAGGAGGTAGGTGTTTGTCTCCATAGAGAGATAATAAGGATTCAAGAGTAGTAATATGGGAGAGGAGGAGAAAGATTTGAGAGATACTTAGAAGGGAAAATTTGTAGGAATTAGTAGATGTATTTTTCTATTAATGTTAAATGAATTGTTTTAAAAGTCTACATATACCACTTGCTCGTTTTCTTTATATTTTATGATGAGCATATGATTGGCAAAACATGGCAATTTTATGCCTTAAGGTAAGAGTAGAGGCTATTTTTACTGTTTACAAGTGGATTTGTGTTATATGAAACATCCTTCTCGCTTCACTGGGTGTTCCTGAGAGCCTTCAAAATTCAACTAAAATGACCATCTTTGGGACGCCTTTTCAATCAGCCTCTCTCCACATACACACTAGTGCACATCTAAGGCACTCATTCTGTAGGACATACATTTCCCTCTATTCCAGCCTGGATCATACAGTCACGTGCCATTCTGTGGCTGTTTCTGTCTCCCCCAATAGATTGTGAGCTCCTTGAGGGCAGAAATCAGATCTCATTCATCTCTATACATGTAGTTACCAGAAGCAGCACTTGGCACATAGTAGACACCTAACAAATGTATATTGGATGAAAAAAGGAACACTTACTCATATGGATATAACTCTGGACCTTGGTAGCACAGACTTTTATATAGTATTAAATGTAAGTTGATGTAGTAGTTTGCTGCATTTGCTAATTTTGCTGAGTACGCCAGTCAAATGTCTCATATTTTCGTTAGATTTTTTTTTTCATTTTCAGCTCTCCTGTTAGCTTTTCCTTTCTAATGTTTCAACCTGTTATACCTGCCCACTGCTTTACTTCTCCTGACAGAGGTTACATCCCCCGTTCCTTGATACTTCACCAGGAAACATTCCCTCCTCTCTACCGAAGTCTAGTTGATCCTATCCTTGACATCGATCTTAAATCCATTCTCTCTTGGTCATAGACATTTTGAGTGGGGTGATAATTTCATTCAGCCCTTATTGAAAGTGATTTGTCAATATGAATCAGAAACCCTAAAATTGAACATAGCTTTCAGCTTACCACTTCAAATTTCCAGAGGAAGTTGCTGAGGAAACAATCACAGTGTTTCCTAAAATTTAGCTCCCAGCATGCTTATCCTAGAGTTGTTTGTAATAATGACGAAAAAGGGGGAAAAAGACATCCTAAATATCCAATATTACAAGTATGAATGAATCAATTGTGGGTCATCAAGTAGCCGTGTATGTTGATGTTACCAACATATATTTCATGATGTGGAAAATTGTTAATGATACGAGAAAATTCAGGTCATAAAACTGTCAATACAAAGTGGTAGGTCTCAGCTTAAGGTTATAAATATATCATACATGCCACATACATCTGTGTATACACACACAGGATAATTCCTGTAATTTTAAATACACACAAAATATTAATTTGGGACAAATGATGCAATTACATGTTACTTGTACTTTATATCTTTTGTATCTATTTACTGCCAGTATGTTATTCAACGATACATTTGTTAATTACTTTAAAAAGGTATTTGAAAATAGTTATTCCTGGTCTACCTCTGTTACTGTTGCTTTAGTTCAAGACATACACACCCTCCAACACAATTGTATCACTTCTAGCCTGTATTTGTACTACCTCCAGTTCACATCTCTTCCCATCTGTCTTACACAAGTACTGATAAAGTGATTTTTATAAATCACAAATCTGAAACTATCCTTCTTGTATATAAATAGTTCAAAGGCTGCTCATTGACGTTAGGAAAACATCCAAACTTAGATTGGTTGATAAAAGCTTTGCAAATCAGTCTTGGCTCTTCACTATCAGTTTTTCCTCCTATAATTAATTTTTTTAGGCTATTTGGCCACTGCCAGGCACATAACAGCTGTTCATAGTTGATGAAATGTTGATATGGATTATATAGGTTAACTTATCTAATAAACTGCCGGCATTTTATTTATTTCTTGCTGCAGAAATACTGAATATATGCAACAGCTAGTACTATCTTACAAGTGAGAAAGACTAATATAAGATATTTTATTTATTATTTTTATTTTATGTGTATGAATGTAATGCCTGCATGTAAGTAGGTGCACTCACATTGTGCAGTGCCCATGGAGGTCAGAAGAGGATGTCGGATCTCCTGGAACTGGAATTTCAGGCAGTTGCTAGCCATCATGAGGGTGCTGCAAATCGATCCCTGGGTCCTCTATGAGAGCAGCCCGTGCTCTTAACCACTGAGCCATTTCTACAACCCCAGAAAGACTAATTTAAATAAATAATAGAAGAAAAGTTTTCATAATAAAAAGCTTTGTTAAGGAAAAAATTAAATCCCTGCAGCAACTCAGCACTTGGCATTTTCCTGAAATTCCTGTTGGTTTTTATCGTTATGCTTAGACTTTTGACATTCCCTTGGGCAAGTTATTTGTGATCACAGCATAACAAGAAGAGCTTTAGACTGATGCAGTGTTATCATGCTATAGTTCACATTGTGCTAGCATACACAAATCTTTCCCTTAGTCACATAACACTTCATGCAACAGGGATGGAATAGCTCCAATCGCTCAGTTTTTCTTTGTTTTGAAATTCTTGGTCTTTGGGAATGGGGATGTCAGGATAATTCTAGGGAAAACTGTGGTAGAAATGAATGGACAGAAACACTGTATCTCATGGGAACCAATGTCATTAGTTATTATTATTTTTTTGTGTGTCTTTTTGAAACAGGGTCTCCCTGTAGCCCCAGCTGTCCTGGAACTCACTATGTAGACCAAGCTGGCCTCAAACTCACAAAAATCTGCCTGCCTCTGCCTCCCAAGTGCTGGGATTAAAGGCATGTGCCACCACGCCCGGCCCTTGGTTATTTTTTTTAATGTCACATAAATGTATTTTTCAGCAATCTGTCCCTAGAGGAGACCTTGGTTGACTCCTACAGTTAATCCTGTTTACAGAATACAGCCCACATGTGTACTACATTCTTGTATTGCTAAGTGATATTAGACATATGTCCAGGATTACCATAATGACATGCAATTGAGTGCATGTGGGTATTCAATTTTTGTCTACAAAAATGTGTTGGTCA